AGCCACGTCCCCAGCCCCCCCCTTTTTTTTATTTGAAGACAGGGGCTCACTAAGTTATTTAGGGCTCACTGAGTTGCTGAGGCTGGCTTTGAACTTGCAATCCCCTGCCTCAGCCTCGGGAGTCACTGGTATCACTGTGCTGGGCTCGGACCTCCATTCTTTCCACCTGACTCTGTCCACAGTGCTGGCTCCTGGCTGCTGGGAAGAGACTGCAGAAGCCTGGGGTCTCCAACTCTGGAGCCTGCTTCTCCCTCTTGGAAACCTCTTCCCTGAGCCAGGTGCTCAGATGCGCATAGACCTCCCCTGCACTTCAGGCACCCTTAGAGCTACAGGGTATGAGGGACACAGCTCTGCTTCTTGGCGAAGCCCCTGTCCTCAGCCCTAGCTACACTGAGGATTTGAAGACCTCACAGATCTTCATCCCATTCCCTGAGACCACAACCCTTCCTGGCCACCCTAGCAGCCTGCCCCAAGAGGGCAGCCATCCCTTGCTCTCTGCGGGACAGAGGTCACAAAGTCCACTGACCTTTGACATGGTAAGGCAGCCCTACAACCTGCTCCGTATGCTTCAAGTCAACTCTGAGTCCTCACAATGAAGACTCTGGGCCAAGAGTGGTGACACTGTGCTGTTGAGGGAGAGTGACAAGAGGAAATTCATGCAGGCTCCATACTGACACGTTTTCCTGAATGATCTCCATCTGCAGGTATGTGATTGTGCAGACAGAGGGCTGACTGATCCCTGTTTGGGGGCCTCCACTGTGAATCACGTGCCACACATGCAGGTTGAGCTCCTCCCCAACTTTCCCCTTATTCAACAGGTTTTCCCAGCCGAGAGGAGGGCAGGGCACCCAGCCTGCTTCCTCAGTGGCCTGTGGTGATCCCAATGTTACTAGTCTCTCTCCACTGCCTGCTCTGCCAAGCTCGGAGCTCAGCAATGCCAACACCTCCACCTGATTGCCCATTTCCAGAAAGAAGCACTTGTGCATGCTGAAGGCGTGTCTGTTGAGTGAGTGAAATGGGTGTGTTGTTCTAAGACCAAAACGAACCTTGGTAGCCTAGTGCTGAAACATCCTCTTGCCTCTCTCCTCTGTGCCCTGGAAACTTGGGCTTTATTAACTAAGACACTTTGTTTGTGGCTTCAGTGGTGGGAGGCACTGGAGAGAGAGGGGGTGGGAAAGGAGCTGGAGTCCCAAGACTCTGTCCCTTGGCAGGGTGGCTCCACACAGGGTGGCCTTGCCCCTCCTTTCCTCTCTGCCCCCCCCACACTTCCTTTGCTCTCTCTCCTCCTCCTCCTTCCCTGCCCTCATCCCACAACTGTTCAGGCCCAGATGCTTCCCAACCCTGCGGTTCCCCTGCACCCAGGCCCACCAGTGTGGAGTTGCTCTGTGAAAGTGTCCATGCCCTCACGAGTCACTGTCTTATCCCTGGATCCTGGCTCATGCACCCCAAGACCCTGAGTTGTCCTTGTTTTCTACTATCCAAAAGTTCAATTAACTATTGACTAATCATATTAATTGACTGAAGAACGGCGCTATGACTGACCCGTTGGAGGAGAAGCTGTCCTCAAGC